AGCAAATTATAAACAGCAAGTGGTTACAGCTTTAGAATAATTGAATTAGTAAAACCACAACTATGAAAAAAAAGTAAAACTAAAATAAGCAAAGCAGAACTAATATATCTAAATCAGCTACTTAATATAAAATAAGAAAAACTAATAATATAACAGCAATTTAAAAGTTACCAGGAACAATTGAGTAAAGGCAAAAAAGCAAAGTAGTTCAAAATAATAGAAACAAAAGTGCTTAGTAGATTTGAAAATAAAGAAATTAAAAAACAATTCAAGACAGACAGATTTAATATACAGATAATGAAAATTAAATAAAGAAGACTGTTAAAGGATAAAAAAAAAAGAATGAATATTATACAATATAATAAAAGATAGGCAATTAGAAAAAAGAAGAAGAAGAAGCTACTGATAGAACACTAGCAGTTGCATAATATAGAAAATAATCTAATAACCAAAATTAACAAATGCAAAAAGTATACAAGAGAAGAAGAAGCAGTAAAAAATAACTATTAATGTTAAATAAGAATCAACAACAAAATAAATATAATTTTAGACATGTTAATAGAAAAAAATAACAATATAATTAAGACAGTTACTGACTAACTAATAGAATATACAAAAACAAAAGAGTTAAAAAAAAATAAACAAAAGTTAATAGGACTTAAAATGTTAAAAGAACTAGAAATAGAGTTAGTTAGAAAACAAAAGCTAAGAAAAAATAATATTCAAAAGTTAGTAGAAATTTTATGAAAAAATATATCAAGAAACAAAAACAAATATATAATATATATAGATGATATAGCAAATAAAAAAACAAAGAATAAATAAAAAATAAAAACATGATATAAAATAGATATAAATAAGTAAAGTACAAGATTGGTCAAAAGAGAAGATAGTATTAGGGGTAAAAGAATAGGCTATGTTCACTACAACTAAGATGCTAGTAATATGAATAGCAGTTTTAACAATACCAAAAAAGAAAAAACTAAAAATATTTTATAGATAACAATGCAGCAATTAAGAATATTGATAAAGATTTAGCATATATAGATAGAAATAAAGATCTTAAAAAAAAATATATATTATAAATATTAAAAATAATTGATGTAATTAGAACAAAAAATATACAGTTAAAGTAAGTCAAAATGAAAAGTTATAGTAAGAACAAATGAAATAATAAAGCTAATAGTTTTGCAAAAAAAGAAATATTAAGTAGTAAAATAATATTTTTAAAAAAAGTTAGTTATAGAGAGATAGAGTACTGTCTTAAGTAGAAAAACAAATAAATAAACTTACTAGCAAGACTTCTATGTAAAATAGTAACAAATATCAGATTGAAAGTAGAATAAAAGGAAACAATAGTGATTAAAAATATAGAACTAACAACAGAAGCAATAATATATAATTAGACATATTTTTGAAGAAGACTGAAGTCATCTAGAGAAGTATATTACTTAACAAAAAATAATAATACAAGAAGAAGTATTTTTATGAAATGTGTATTGAACAAACTTCTAATTTTGAAAGAACTTAACAGAAGAAGACCAGATATATATACAGCAGCAGAGTAGGCAACACTATATATAATATAGTGTTGCCTATTTACTCTATAGTGTTGCCTACTTATTCTAGATTGTTATTTACTTATTGCTCTAGACTAATACCTATTTATGATGATGTGCCTGTCATTATTCAAGTGAAGAATGATTTACATTTGCATCATTATTCAAGTAATGAACAATTTATGCTTGCATTGTCAGTATCATAATATATATATTTTATGACACATTTTTGATAACATAAATATGACACTATCATCAATGTCTAAACTTAAAAAGTCATGATTTGGAGAATTGCCTAGGTGCACAGTGCCATTGTTTTACAATATGGTTTGCAAAACAATAAAGTATATTATGAAAAAATGCTATTGATAATGCTATTATGTATATGCTATCAGGTACACTATATATATGCTATTTGGCCATGCTATATACATGATATCTGGTTATGCTATTGATAATATTATTATATATATGCTATCAGTTAGATATATATTCGAGAGCCTAATATAAAACAAGTAACAAAAAAAGTAAGTATATATGTAAGTAGGCGAATATATAACATCATTTTTTATTATGAATAAATCTAATGTTACTCATCTCTTAGCATATATGCTTTTACTATAGTCTTCTGCTATAATTATTATATATATTTCTGTAAAAGACTACACCTGTTAACTACTATCAACATATACTGAAAACATATTATTAGAAGAGTATTCTTTTTTTATAATTATTATATAATATTTTTGAAATTAAAACTCCCAGATGATATATCAAAAACATACTCGATATATATATATATGCTAAGGTAGTATGTTTTTCCACTTTTTATATATAAGGCCTTGCCTATGCTTTATATAATAAATCCACAGATTAGACTATCTGAACACATACCAAAAATATACCTGAAACTATATCATTAAAAGAGTATTATTCTTCCATTTTATATATATAATATATCTGAAGTTAAATACCCTAACTATATATCTAAAAATATATTTAGAAACATACCATAAAATGAGTATTCTTCATTCATAATTTATATAATATATTTCTAAAATTAAATACCTGATTACATATTTTTTGCTATTACTTACTATTGCAGAGCAGACCATAGATGATTTTCCAAATCATGGTTCTTTGAATCTACATCTGTATTTGGTCTAGTTTCTCAAGCTTTTTTCTATGATACCCTGACCTTGCTCAATATTTTTTAGCATACAGTATATATCACAAAATTCATAAATAGATAATATTAATTTACTACACTCTTTATAGGGTACATATGCAGAGGAATCCCAATGAACTTTACACCCTTCAGGCTGATAGCAACCTAGATTGCAAACTTCTTCAGTTCTAAGAATATAGAGACAATGATAAAATGCTATAGCTATATACTAGTCAATAAAGATATTAATAATTATACTTTGAAATTAATTTTCATTTTAAACTTTTTTCTTGCAAATAATATACTACCAATACTATTATAGCTAAAGAAAATATCAATATAAAAAATGAGCACACAAAGCATACAACTCGAGCAGTATGAAGGTAAAAAAACCATAACAGAGGTTCCAACTCACAATAATATTTTGAAATGTGATAATGGGTTAACAGCTATAAATGCAAATATGTTTAGTTAATATAATACAGAACCAAACCTCAGATGGATTACAGTAATATGTGGAAATCAGACCAATTTACTGAAGGTATTTGCATTATATTAGAAAAATTTGGCTTCAGATATACAAATAGGTTTTAATAATTCCCAATATAATTAGATTTTTATTATAGAAAAAGCTAAAAAGTTTAGGTATTCTTGAATGAATGTTTAATCATATGTCACCTGAGTCATCTAATATTGAAGAAATTATAAAATAGAAATATTGAAAAAGTGAGATAAAGATATCTGATAAGAAATTCTACTCAAAGTATCTCAAAATTCCAGAATATATACCTATTAATATTCATGTTTGTTTCAAAAAATTATATCCAAAATCAGAGGCAAGTTCACTGAAATATTATCTAAATATCTGTGGGTTAGATAGTAAGACAGATATGCCTTATAATAAAATGTAAAAATACTATGAAGATGCTATACTTCAAAACTCTGACAGCTTAGCTGAAAACATGTGTGAAATAGCTCATTATTGTATTACAAATGCATTGCAATGCCAAGAGCTTATGGTTAAGCATAATGTAGTTAATGATTATCGAAAGGTGTTACCTATTGCATATATTTCTCTTTCTGATGTTCACTATTTCGCAGAAGGTATAAAAGTATGTAATCTTTTGAGAGCTGAAGCTTAGAGCAATAATATGTTATATAGTATAATTGCTTCAGAAAATACAGGATTTGTAAGTATCCAGAAGCTTATGTTATTATACTAATAAAGGGTCTTGAAAATAAACATCTAGTAACAGGCTTAGATTTTGCCTCCTTATACTCAAGTCTTATAATGACTTATAACCTTTTACTAGATAAAATAATATTATCTTATAAAGAGATGATAAATATAATTTGCAGTGAAAAGAAGATTTATATGATTAAGTTTCTATTCAATAGTCAAACTATAGAAGCTTGGTCCATTTGCCACAATAATATATCTGAAAAAAAGGGTTTATATGCTAGAGTATTAGAAAATCTGTTTAATAAATAAAAAAAAATAAAAGAATGCCTTAATGAATTAGATGAAGAAAGTTTCGAATATAGTTGCTTAAACTTAAAAAAAAGGCAGTAAAATTATATATGAATACATTTTATAATAAGGTGCATAATAATCTCTCTTCATTCTATCAACTGCAGTTAGCAGGTGGAGTTACTTTTGCTAAACAGTGTAATATTAAATTTGTTAAAAACTTTGTTGAAGACAAAGGGTTCAGCATTAAATATGGAGATACTAATTCTTTATATCTTACATGTTCAAAGGAGTGTTTTCAGGAATGTAATCAAAAATATAAATTAGATCAACTCTTACAAGAAGAGTACTAGAAGAAAATAGTAAAAATATTTATAAAAGTGATAACAAACTTCTGTAATGAAGTAAATACTAAGTTTGAAAAAGACAATAGAATGCCTTACTTTAATATGGCATATGAAGAGGTCTTATTTTTTGTAGTATTTACAAAAAAGAAAAAATACTATAGTCTAGAATATAAAAATAAACCAAACTTTATTTCAGGTAAGCTTTTTATTAGAGAGATGGATATTGTAAAAAGAGGTCAATCTAAGCTTTTCTGTAATATAGATAAAGAAATTATGAATAAAACTTTGAAAGTCATTAATGAGAAGACAATACACTAAATTGTTAAAAAAGTCTTTAAGAAAATGTGAAAAAACTTTTCAAGTTAGATTATAATGAATTTATTCAGACATGTATATGAAGATCTAAAAAGAAAAGTAAGCAGAAAAATATTTCTGTAGAATGGTTTGTTTCATAAATGGAGGCTAAGTATTCTCATGAAGTATTAGAAAATCAACAGCTTATAAAAAAGGGTTTACCCACTAACAAATATCTATATAAAGTTTCCAAACCTGATAAATGATTTAGTTATATTGTTGTAGTACCTAAAGAGATTTATAATAACTGCAGAAAAAAAATACTACAACAAAAAGGAGACTGTATAGAATCCCAGTTGTGATAAAAAAGTTTAATAAGAAAATAAATATTGATTATTATATCAAAAGTCTATTTGGTTTCTGTGCTTATTTTATAAATTATAATGATAAATACTAATCATCGCCTAAATTCTTCTCAAAAGTCTTGGATCACAAAAGAAATCCAAAAAGAAGAAATTAAAAATTGCTAAGGATTTATTGCAAAGCAATGACTTTCCAAGTTTAGATGAAGATGAAATAGCAAAAATTAAAGATGAAGAGTCACAGAAGTTGGCTCAAAAATTATATTAAAAACTTATGTGATGTTTCAAAAAAAGAGAAAGCCATTATCTGCCATTTTTGGAAAGATGCTATTACTTATATAGAAAAAATATGTTCTGATATTAGCAAAGCTAACATGATCAATAATAATTTTCTTAATGTGTTAGATAAAATTGCAGATTTTATTTGTTTAAAATTATCAGATCTACTTTCAAAATTGTTTAAGCTCAATGTAAAATATAGAAATAGGTTGTATGAATTAATTATGCAGGCACAAAAATACAAGTCTGATATTTTTTTTTTTTTTTTTAATCTTAAGCAGTTACACTAATACTTTATTAAGATTCTTTTTTTTTTTTTGTTAAGGTGACCTCTTTGGTCTTTCGACTTTATTAACATATTTTTAGAAATATAGTTCCATAAGGAGCTATTACAGAAAGAGCGTACAATTGGCCACTCATATAACTTTCTATATTACCTATTTAAGAAGTCTGCCTAATGTTTCCCACCAATTGCCATACCTAACACCCCTGCTTGGATGTTCTATTTAAACCCTCTGAACCTGTCCCATGTTACTTCATCAGGTCAAGTCTGGATTCTTCGTCTCAACCTTAGGACAGTTATTCTCGAGGTAAACCTTCCAGAGCCTGCTATTTACCCATTTTTGCATCTGACCTAGATATTACTATGGCAGAACCAACACTTGCAGTCAGAGCTAACTATTAAACTGCTATGCCCTTGTAGAGTTCATACAGACCCTAGTACCTACTTTATAGTATATCTCTAGTACTTTAGTATACCCCTGCTTCTTTTACCAAACTTCTAATCCAGATAGCCCATGTAGGACTATGACCAGTCTATCGGTATATCGGGTCAGCCTGATATCCTTTTTCTCCAGTTTGATCTGGCGGCCTGGTTGGTAGTACCTCCGAGACTCCCAACCCAAAGGTTCTTGTCTGTCCGGCTACTTCGGCATTGGTATTCATTTCTTAGATCTAGCCTTTACAGTGGTACTGTCGAAGATCTGTGTTACCTCTTTACTTGGGTCTTCCCAAATGGGCTTCTTGTTCCCTAATTTCTACAGATTTACATGGCTACAAAGACTTATTTTGAGTTTGCACCGCCTGATTTGTCAGTTTGCATTCTTCTGTGTAACAAGTTATACAGATGCCCCATAACCTGCCAGTCATGCTGGTGTGACTATAATTACAGATATCTTAACCCAATCATTAGGAACAGTTGCCATAATACCAGATTATATAGGTGATTATCCAAATTTTCACCATCAATGGGATTTGAACACCCAACCTACCACTTGGGAGGTTGACAACCTGACCACTTTACTAGGTTGCCACACCCCCCTTTATTAAGATTCTTGAAACTATATACATACATGATTACATAGAATTTCTTAATACTTAAGTTTAACATCACTCGGCCATCCTAATGGTACCTAAGTGCAACCTGCTACACTATTTCAGTTAGAGATAGACTGCTTGTCTAACTACTTAAAGCCATACCAGAAGGGTCTTCTCTCTTCTGTAACAAGCATATTAATTGTCTTCAATGCTTTATTCTTTATTTATTTTCCTTTTTCTGGTTTCTTTCCTTTTTTATCTTCTTTCGATATTCTACTTTCTATCTTTTTTCCTTTTAATCTTTTTTTCTTTCTCTCATCTTTCTTCATTTTATTTGTTATATTAGAGCTCTTTTCTCATTTTTGTACTCTTTCACATCAAACTTTCCATACTTGGTTGTAAAAGGTGTTCCATACTGTTCTAGTTGCTATATCTATACATTTCTGTGTTACATTTTTGTTTAACAACTGTTCAATTCCTTTTTTAACCTTAAGTGTTGTAAGCCCTTTTATTAGTGCTTTTTGTTCTTAATTTTTTCTTCCTCTGTTTTTCTGAAAAGTGTTGTATATAGCACTTGTAATGGAATTCTGTCTTTTTCTCTTTCTTTGAGACCATTCTATGCTGTTGCTGCTGACACGTTTTGGACCACAGACTTCTTTGTTTGCTTCAGCTTGCCATATGCACTTGAGTTTTTATCTTACCCTCTTGACAAACTTGGCAATCTGCTGTTGTATATACTTCTGATCTTCTTCTGTTTAGTTTTTCTAATGTTGGTAAACTGTCCATTATACATTTGATTGCTATTGCTCTTCTTGTACTGATGTACAATATACTTCACTAGTTCTATTTATTTCTTTTCAGAAGCTTGATCAGTTGTATAGTGCTTGTTTGGTTTCTGACTCTAGTAATCTAATTGGTTTTGTTTCTCATCAGTTAGCTCCAATTTTAGCATTAACAATTATCTTGCAAAGAAGTCTTATTGGTATGTCAATCTTTTTGCTTTCTCATTCTATATAGTACTTTATGCTGCTATATTTAATTTTTTCTACACAGATTATTTCTTTGCTATTCGCTCCTTTCTTTGCAAGTAAATCTGCTCTATCATTTCACTTGTCTTCACTATGACTTTTAACTTTAACTATTTCTATTTTAATGTTTTTGCTTTTGATTAAGTCTGTAATGTTCATTATCTACATTGTATTTTTTTTTTGAAAATTCTTTCGTCTTCTATACTTTGTATTGCTTTGTTAATATTTTTTAATTCTGTACTGCTATCTGTAAATATTTCTATATTTTTCTCCTCTGGTACTGTTAGAATTGCAGACCATATTGCTGCTAATTCTGCTATTGTTGCTGAGGGCCATCTTTTGAGTCCTAGTGCTCCTTTCTCTTCTGGCCAATCCTTTTTATCTCCCAATTGCACCCAACTAATGCCTATTTTTTCTGTACTATCTTTTGCCTTCTTTTTATACAGCTCCATCTGTATAAAAGATATACTTGTTCTTGTTTCTTCTTTTATTTCTTGCTAAAATTTCTATTAAGTGATTCATAATTTTATTGCTTATTCCTTGTTTTCTAATTAACTCTACTTCTAATTCTTCTATTTGTTTTATTTCTATTAGGTTTCTTTTATTTCTTCTTCAATCTTCTGTTGTTCTGTTGTCTGTTATCTGTTCAAGTATTGCATTAATTCTGTTATTGCCTTTTTTAATTATTGTTTTTGGAACTACTTTTGTATTGTAATCATGTTTTATCTATTTCTTGCAATTGTCTGATGTCTTCTCTGGTTTGTTTTCACAATCTTTGCATTTACTTATTTCTATAGTTGTTTTCTCCTCTACTTTCTTTATACCCAATGCTCTGCTAGTATCTTTTCTCCTTTCTTCTTGATTACTTTGCTAAGTTGTTGATTATGTTTTGATCTATGTATAATCCATTCTTTTTTTCTTCGATCTTCTGACAACTTTTTTTTTTTTTTTTTTTTTTTTTTAATTTTATTAAAGCCGATGTTATCGGTAGCTACTGTCTTTATTTGTGTTTTTGATCAATGCATTATATATGACTTGTACAAGGTAAGTGTGCAACTAGCCACACATGTAACTTTTAGTTACCTATTTAAGTAGTCCGCCCAAGGGTTCTACACTAGCTGCCATGCCTGTAACCTACTAGGAG